CCTCCAGGGTGCTCTCAAGGAATGCCCTCTCACCCACAAGTACACCCATGCTCTTAAAGGAGCAACTCTGCTTGTGTACAAATTCCTCGTGCTCCCTTGTTCACCCCATGCAGACACTCACCACCAGTTTGACGTGCTTTGCCAAGTCTTTGGAGCTCCCAGTAAGAAAATCAGAAAATGCCGTCTGCCAAACACAAGACACAAGGTTAGTTCCTAGAGACTCCATGGCTGAGTGGAGACCAGGAATGTGGCTGGATTGCACAGGCCCATCAGATGTTACTGAGTGTCATGCCAAGCCCCTTCAGCTGCCAACATTAGGCAAATCCTCTTCCAGTCCAAGGCACCTTGGCTTTGATCGGCCCATTCCCCCCCCGCCACCACATAATACAGGCCACTGGACACCTCACAGCTCTGCCGAGGCATTTCAGTCTCAGTTCACAGCCCCCTTGCCTGGTCCTGGCTTCTGGGACCAGCTGTGTTCTAGGACCAGGGTCTTTCTGATTAGTGTCACAAAATGCAACTGGCTTCTCTGGTTGTGAGGAAACAGGGTGAAACAAACTTATTTGGGCTAATAAAGGGAAAAGAACAGGTGAAATCCTATGGCCTATGGAATGCAAAAGGTCAGACAAAGTGATTGTAACGGTCCCTTCTGGTCTTAGGCTCTATGAATAGGGAAGCAAGGCACCAGCCTCCTGACATGAACTGGGTCTGAGAGGGCACAAAACAACAATGGATCCTACTCAGTCTGGAATAATGGATCTAGTAGCACAGAGAGCTACACAGCCAGGGGGCTGCAATGGGACAGAGCTGCAAAACGGCTAAAGCAATTGGGGATTGTATGTGCAGAGGCCTCCCATGTCACAATGCAAAAGGAGAGTTGCTTGCTATAGAACCCTAGGGAGGTCCTGTCTGGGATTCTGGTTTGAGTCTGAGTGTCCCTCAGTACAGGGATGAGGAGTTCAAAGAGGTGCTGAAGCAATTACTGCAGGATAAGACCTACAGTTCTGCTACCCACTGCCCCACCCCTCATGCAGATGCCCAGAGAAAGCAGCTGGGGAAGCAACTATGAGTAGACAGGGATGAGACAGGCAGGGCTCATCTCCCTGGAGCGCCATACACTCACCCCAGCGTAGAACATTTTATTCCGAAACCGGCTGTTGAACTTCTCTGGATTGGCCTCTAGGGAAAGGAGGAAAGAAGCAGCATTACTCACTCACTCCCCAGACAAACTTGGCTGTCTGTCTGCCCTGCCCTCACTGGCTCCAGAGCCAGCCATCCCTCTTGTGCCCTCTCCAGCTGCCTCCCTCCATGCTCCTAAGTGGGCTCTCCCCCACCACCCCTTCCATCTGCTCACATATGTTTTGCACACATCGCCCAGTCAGACCCCACCCTGTTTCTCTCCATTTGCTTCCCAGCCAGTTCTCCCCTTGCCACATCTCCCTGGCCATCCTTTTTTGTCTACTCCCCCATGGTGGAGGAGCCCTTGGATACAAAGTTGGTGTGTGCTGTTCACTCTCCTCACACTGGTCTGGCCTGGCCCTAACGCTTTGCAGAGGGTCCCAGACAGCCCTGCCTCACCCCTAAGTACCTCGTGATTCGTGAAACTCTAGGGTCACACGTGCATCAAAGCCCAGGCTGAAATAGTTATTGAAGACATCAAGGGGAAGCTGAAACAGAAGGAGAGGAAGGTGAAGCCAGTGACTGCTGAGAGATTCTGCTAGAAGCATGTACCCCTAGAGAGAGGCCACATTTCTCTGGCAACCTGGTAGCCATGCACTGAGAGCCATGGCCAGCACAGTGAGCAGAGCAAAGCTGAGAGAGAAAGAGACCTCCCTCCTTTCCCAGGAAACAATGGTAGCCATGAGCCCAACAGCCATGTGTTGGTAGGGATGGAGCAGCTCTTTCTGTTGCCCAAAGGATAATTGCCCAAAAGGGTCAGCATGGAAACAGGTTCAGCATCCACAAAGGAAGTCAGGGTGACATGTTGAGTCCAAATAACTGCCCAAGATGAAACAGGGTGGCAAATGTAGTGTAGGCGATGTTTTTCCTATGCCAGATGCATCAGGAGCTGGGGGTCCTTTGCCAGTGTGTCCTGCTTTCCTGAAAGCCTATGATGAATTCTTGACCTTCTGCTCAGGAGCCCTCAGGGGATGGAAAGAAAGTTTCCCAAGGGAGCAGGGATGTCTCCATTCCACCAATGTTATTCCAACTGCTTAGCCCCTCTCCTGACAGGGATGTGACTAGCTTGCTGTCTGCTCCCACCACGACTCTCTACACTAAGGGGACAGTCCTGTGAAGATGCCTTGTGCCTACAGCAAAATCTTCATCAAATCCTTGTGGTGACCTGCAGCATTATCTTAGTTCCAGCTACCACTCCCCCATACACCACAGGCTAACTGAGCTGTGAGAAGAGGATGCCAAAATTTGGGGTAGGGGGTGGAGATAGACAAATGGGATGATGGACACTGGCCCACTAATTGCTGAGTCCCATCTGAGCTAGGGACAGACAAAACATGCTTGCCAGGAGGCAGGAAGCCTGGGCACAGCTCACGTGCAGGGGGAAGGGTCTCACCTTGTCCGTGGCTGTTTCATCCTTCTCCTCAGGACTTGCTTCAGTGTTTGGCTCCACATGGAGATTCCAGCGGTCAAGCTGCACTATATTCCCATCCTCCACATGTGACAGGATTTTTGACAGGGGCTCGTCTGTATAACCCTATGGGCCAAAGCAGAGCTCCATATGCCAACAGGCTGGGATTGTCCCCAGAAAGAAGGGGGAGTGGGGCTGGGTCAGCATGCCCCAGAGCAAAGCACGAGGGGGCAAAAAGGTAATGATATTTTAAAATACATATAAATAATGAATCTTTAATTAAATACCTTTCCACTGAAAAATAAGCCCATTTAAAATTAAATTTGAAATTAAGACAGCCCACATGAAGGCCTAATAATTTAGATTAAATAAAAATACTCAAACAGTACATGTTTGCTGCCCAAGTTTTAAAACACTGAACTAGTGGAAATCATTAGCTAAGCAGCTGGAACCAAAATCTGTTCAAAGCGTGAACCCAGCTTTGACAACAACAGTCTCTTCTATATGTGCAGAAAGACCAATGTCTTTGCTTCAGTTTACTCAACTAGGTCAGTTCATTGACTAGTTCATTCAGAGTTGAGAAATGAAAAAGCAGGAAAGCCTGGCTTCTTTCCTTTTTCAAGCTCTGAATAAAAACGAGGTATGAAAGGATGAGATCCACTCATTCAAAAAATTTGAGGAGGGGGGCCAACAGAAGCAAACTATTCAGTTCAGGAGCTACAGATAAGACTTCCTTTGTTTAATAGAGCAGTTGGTTTTAAATGCAAAGCATTCTGATAAACTTGCTTTTTTTGTTCCTCGTGTATCCAGTAAATTCAAGATTGTTTTATTTAACTGATTAAAAAAAAGAAATTAAAATGCTAGCTTGGGCATTTTTATTTGAATTCCAGTTTCCATCCAAGTGCTGCTTGATTCAAAAGACAAATAAAAATGAAGCATCATTTAGTAGAAAAGGACCATGTCATTTACCATTTTCTAACATAATGAAAAAAAACACCCTTAAAAAAAAAGGTCTGGTAAGCTATAAATTGCTTCAGCAAATAGGCATAGCAATAATGTAGCTGAATGTACCAGCCAGAGAGAGTCAACATCCCTTTAAGAAAATAAAAGCACAAATGCCAAACAAGAGTCAAATAGATGATTTCAGTCACAATTAAAATCTGTGACATAAATTGCTTAGATTTAAACCAATCTACCATGTGGAGACACAGGATAAGCAGGGCTAGTCTAGGTCACTAAGGGTGCAAAAAAACATTGCACTTGTGTCATTATTATTATTTTTATGACGGCACAAAGGGAAAGCAAGCAGACATCTAATCCATTTGTTGCACACCACAAATGTCCAAATTTGTGGCTCTGACAAAAGGTGGTAGCAGTTTCTGCTACTTTATTGTAGCAACTGTCTGTTTGCTTTATGGCAGAGAGTGCAGGCAGCCCGTGGTCTCCAGTCATCCCAAGCAGGTACTCCTGAGCCTTGAGGGGCCGGATTCTGTGCATCCCAGGGATTCCCATGCAGGATTGAGCCCCTCAAGCCCCAGACATGCCTGCCTGGCTTTCCCCTTTTAGAAAAATGCCCCCCGGAGATTCCACAGGGCATGTCTCTGCAAGTGGGGAACCCCAGCTTTCTCTGCTTACAGAAATGCTTCCTAGAGAACCTCTGGGCGTTACTCTGCAAGTGGGGAACAGGTTGCCCACCATCCCACACAGTTAATAGGTGGGGTAATGGGTGACAAGAATTTTGCCCAGTGAGGGAGATCTGGGCTGATGTGCACCCTGGCATAGCCCCTACCCTGGCATAGACCCACCACCCTGCAGCAGATATGCCAGGTTGAGCTCTGAGTTACCTGCCACCAAGGGGCAGATTCCCCATTTATAGCTGATGTCATCTGTGGGACAAAAGTGAATTTGCTTAGGGCTGGGCCCCTGGGTGATATGCACATGAGAGGGCACCCTATGTGTCAATCAAGGCCCGCTCCTAGACTTCTGCCGCATTTATGCCAGACATCACATGCAATCTTTCCTACACCCAACAACACTTGCTCCACACTGCTCTCACTTCCTCGGCTGGGAGCTCTTAGGTATGACCTATCTTATAGCAAGGGTGGAAAACTTCTCCAAGTCAGAGAAAAGCTCTCAGCTCCCCCACCCCTTGTGGCTCAGCTCTCTCCTTGCTTCTGCCAAACTGTGCTTAAAGAGCCAGCACTGCCATGGAGCAGCTGTGTGCTAAGTGCTCCCTGCATCTCCCTCTGCAGGTACCCTTTCCCTCCCCTTCCTCTGTGTCACTTACCCCGCCCCAGTTCAGTGTCCTGGCCAAGTCGTTTCCAGTCCCCAGAGGCAGGATGGCTACAGGAGGAGGAGGGTTCAGGCGCAACTGGTCTAGGATGGAAAGGATCCAGCCCACCTGCTCAAACAAGTAAGGCACCTAAGAAGCGCCCTGAGATTACCAGCTGCTGTGAGCTGATCAACTCAAGAGAGCAGAAAGCATTAGGTACAGCGAGAGCAGAGAAGAACATGGAGGCTGGGGTCAACCCCAGTCCCTCAGCCATTTCAGAAGCTTTCTGTTCTATAGCCTGAGGAAAATCACAAGTCCCACCATTTTAAGACAGGTCTAGCCTGTCCCAAAGCAGAACTGGCGTAACCCTGACCATGGCAGGAAGCTTCCCCAGTGTTTAGCATCGCTCAGCGCACCCCACCCCAATTCCAGCACCTTCATAGCAGTCATACTTGTATTGAGCCCTGCAACCCAGATTCCATCAGGGCTCCTGCAGTCAAGCATCCCAATGCTTCTGCTGCAAAGGGGGAACAAGTGCTTCTCGGTACTTAACCTGGAAGGCAGGGTTAATCTTCCAGAGACAGAGGTAAAGTTTGGGGGGGGATCCTGGGCTCTGGCTGCCAAACTTTGCTTAGCTGAGGGTTACGTTAGCACCTGGTCAGGAGCACCAGGGCTTGCATAAATAGCATTAAAAAGGAAGCAATGACAGCAGCCATCCTCCCCTCTGATATGGAGATATAGTCCTGAAAATGAATAGGTCCCAGTCCACCCTACAGCTAGGTGCTCAGATGGAGATGGAACATTGCATGCTGGTGCAGGCAGCCCGTGGTCTCCAGTCATCCCAAGCAGGTACTCCTGAGCCTTGAGGGGCCGGATTCTGTGCATCCCAGGGATTCCCATGCAGGATTGAGCCCCTCAAGCCCCAGACATGCCTGCCTGGCTTTCCCCTTTTAGAAAAATGCCCCCCGGAGATTCCACAGGGCATGTCTCTGCAAGTGGGGAACCCCAGCTTTCTCTGCTTACAGAAATGCTTCCTAGAGAACCTCTGGGCGTTACTCTGCAAGTGGGGAACAGGTTGCCCACCATCCCACACAGTTAATAGGTGGGGTAATGGGTGACAAGAATTTTGCCCAGTGAGGGAGATCTGGGCTGATGTGCACCCTGGCATAGCCCCTACCCTGGCATAGACCCACCACCCTGCAGCAGATATGCCAGGTTGAGCTCTGAGTTACCTGCCACCAAGGGGCAGATTCCCCATTTATAGCTGATGTCATCTGTGGGACAAAAGTGAATTTGCTTAGGGCTGGGCCCCTGGGTGATATGCACATGAGAGGGCACCCTATGTGTCAATCAAGGCCCGCTCCTAGACTTCTGCCGCATTTATGCCAGACATCACATGCAATCTTTCCTACACCCAACAACACTTGCTCCACACTGCTCTCACTTCCTCGGCTGGGAGCTCTTAGGTATGACCTATCTTATAGCAAGGGTGGAAAACTTCTCCAAGTCAGAGAAAAGCTCTCAGCTCCCCCACCCCTTGTGGCTCAGCTCTCTCCTTGCTTCTGCCAAACTGTGCTTAAAGAGCCAGCACTGCCATGGAGCAGCTGTGTGCTAAGTGCTCCCTGCATCTCCCTCTGCAGGTACCCTTTCCCTCCCCTTCCTCTGTGTCACTTACCCCGCCCCAGTTCAGTGTCCTGGCCAAGTCGTTTCCAGTCCCCAGAGGCAGGATGGCTACAGGAGGAGGAGGGTTCAGGCGCAACTGGTCTAGGATGGAAAGGATCCAGCCCACCTGCTCAAACAAGTAAGGCACCTAAGAAGCGCCCTGAGATTACCAGCTGCTGTGAGCTGATCAACTCAAGAGAGCAGAAAGCATTAGGTACAGCGAGAGCAGAGAAGAACATGGAGGCTGGGGGCAACCCCAGTCCCTAAGCCATTTCAGAAGCTTTCTGTTCTATAGCCTGAGGAAAATCACAAGTCCCACCATTTTAAGACAGGTCTAGCCTGTCCCAAAGCAGAACTGGCGTAACCCTGACCATGGCAGGAAGCTTCCCCAGTGTTTAGCATCGCTCAGCGCACCCCACCCCAATTCCAGCACCTTCATAGCAGTCATACTTGTATTGAGCCCTGCAACCCAGATTCCATCAGGGCTCCTGCAGTCAAGCATCCCAATGCTTCTGCTGCAAAGGGGGAACAAGTGCTTCTCGGTACTTAACCTGGAAGGCAGGGTTAATCTTCCAGAGACAGAGGTAAAGTTTGGGGGGGGATCCTGGGCTCTGGCTGCCAAACTTTGCTTAGCTGAGGGTTACGTTAGCACCTGGTCAGGAGCACCAGGGCTTGCATAAATAGCATTAAAAAGGAAGCAATGACAGCAGCCATCCTCCCCTCTGATATGGAGATATAGTCCTGAAAATGAATAGGTCCCAGTCCACCCTACAGCTAGGTGCTCAGATGGAGATGGAACATTGCATGCTGGAACCCACATCTCTAATGACAGAGCTTCACGGAGATTCAGTGGGGCCACATTGCCCAATTTTGGATTAGATTAGCGGTGTCAAAGCTATGCCCGGTGGGCTGGATGCGTCTCATGGAGCCACATCATCTGGCATGTGGGGCTACTGAGGAAGCCAGGGATTTGGAAACAGGGTAAGTGGGGATGGAACTTGGCACTTAATTTTGGCATATAAAGCCCCACTAGGAATGTCTGTCTGCAAGAGGTGGGTACGTTAATCTCTGCAGCTTGGAAATTTTCAGTGGTTAACACTGCTGATACTTGCCCTGCTGCTGGAGGTAGGTCTGGATATGGCCCATGATCCCTATGGTCTACATCTACATCTAGCCTGGGACAGGATGGTGGGGACAAAGGTGTTTGACACCCCCGGAAGGAGCTGCCACCTCTCCTTAGAGGGCAATGGGGCCTGAAGAAAGGCTAAATCCCCATGACAGCAGTGAAAGCTGAGAGGTTGGGACAACTCACCGTGCCATCCCCACCACATGCCAGGATGCGGAGGTTGTGTACCTTCCGGTACATCTCCAGCCTGCAGGGGAGCAGCAAAGAGAGGGGGTCACTGATACACCGAAGAGCTATAGTGGTCAGTTAGGCTCTTTCCAGAAGGAAAGCCTGCAACCCCGTGTAAGTCTCCCAACTACCCATGTTGCACAGGGCACTCCACATGCAACACTGGGTTAACTTTCCCAGGCCCCCAACCAGTGGGGTGACCATCTGTCCCAGTTGGAAATACTGCCCCCCTCACCCTCTCCTTCCTCTCTCCCTCCCAAGTCAGCGGCTTGCTGCAGGGAGAGGCAGAGGTGGAGCAGCATGCTGCAACAGGCAGCCTACCCAGCTAACTTCCTGGGGAACTATGCCCATTTCCTTTCCCCACCAGACTGTGCCCCATGCCCAGGACACTCATTTTAATCTGTGCCCCATGCCTGGGACTGGCCTCTAAAATCCAGGACTGTCCCAGGAAAACTGGGTAGACGATCACCCTACCAACCAGGGAAGCAGGTTAGCATCACTGCCTCCATTGTGCAGATGGGGAAACTGAGGCACAGGGAGATGACAGGAATTGCCCTAGGTCACCCAACAAGCTGGGAATAAAACTCCAGTATCCTGGCTCCCAGCCCTGTGCCTCAAGCATTAGACCAACCTTCCTCTAGGAAGCATTAGAGTCTGAACTAGCTGGAAGATCAGACCCTAGAGACATTTCCTTGGCACTAAGCCTGCACTGGATGCCCAGCCACACAGTGCCCTGACAGGGGCCTTTCCCTAGAGCAGCCCCTTGCCAGCTGGGGAGGAAGGGCCCAAAGGCCCCTGGGAGAGATTCTGCAGGCAGGGGGGACAGGCCTGCTGAAGCTGGTACTTACGCTTCCTTAGGGCCGCCCTGGCTGAGGTCGAAGACTTGCCGGGGATTGAGATACCACATGAAGGACTGGATGATCTTGGCTCCCTAAGAGAATGACAACGATTTGAGTGAGGACATGGAGAACCCCATGGGGACTGTGGGGGAAATAGGAATCTGGAGTTCTGATGAGTCAGGCAAGGCCTGGCTGGGGGACAGGATGCCAGTGAGTAAGGCTGGCACCACACAAGCTGCTCCTGTTTTCACAGCTGAGACACCGCTAAACACTGGCTTCTCAGAGGCTGGGACAGGATGGCTCCATGGGGCTGGATTCCCAGGGGCACACAGGACAAGGCTCTACCTGATTGCCCCCACTTTTGGGGTTCACAAACACCAGGAGGGGCTTCATGAGCGGTGCTGGCATGGGCTTGATAACGAAGGGTTTCCATCGCCCCTCCTGCAAGAGACACCAGAATCCCATTAACAAACTGGGGAAATACCAACTCCCACCTCTGACTGAACCCTACATCATGAAGCTTGGGAGCTAGAGAGGAGACACTGAACCTCCCAGCCACCCTTGGGACCCTGGCACTGCGATGCGCTCTCCCAGTCCTCAGGCACAGCAGCATCTAGACATGGGGCCCACAATGCACTATACCACCCCTGAGCCCAGAGGGATCCAGCTACAGGGCCCTGTACTGGTCTTTGTCCTTCCACAAAGATCCACCCCCACCTTTTTTCCCTCTTCTTTTCAACACCACTTGAGATCCCAGCCCTGCCAATCTAAATGCTGCTTATGTCCCAGTACCCTCCCTCCACTTCATGCTACTCAGCTCCATGTCACAGCTCACACCCTCCTCCATCTAGCACACTGCCTGCCCCAGCTCCCATTTCTGCCCTCAGCCTTCCCACTTCTCTTCAGTCCTGCCCATTTCCAGTCACTCTGGCCCTGCTCTCTGACCTCGGGTCCCTTTTTGCTGGATTTCCTCTTGAACGATGCCCTCTTCTTCTTCTTACTGGACTTCAATGGATTCTAGTGAAGGAAAGAAAAAAAAAACCCACATCAAGAGCTGCTGGCCAAGCAGGAGTCAGTGAATTAAACAAGAGAGAGAATTCCATGGGAGAGACTCACCTGGGGGCGCCGGACACGCAGGATCCAGGTGGGTGGGACAACAACAGCAGCATGAGCCCCCAGTGAGCAGGGTTCCTCGATATGTTGCAGCATGAAGCATGACACCTTACTGTGGTACTAAGAGGGAGAGAGAACATGGCTGCTCAGTTGCTTGGGCATGGCCTGGAATGCCCTACTTTCAATGCATGCAGCACCTCCCACTCCTGAAACCTATTCATGGCCAGGCTCCCAACAGGAGAGAAGGGGGCAGGGGACCTGGATGAGGTGAGCTCCTAGCAACTGCAGCAATTCCAGCCTCTCTGACTAAGAGGTGCTGTAGGGAACAGGTCATGAGCACTGACAGAGCTCCTGGCTCATGTTTGAAATCTGCATAGCAATCAGGGGTCACCAAAGCATATATGGGTGCAAATGGCAGGACTGTACTCACCGCTTGCTTACACCAGGAGCAGCTGATGGCCACAATCTCCTTGCTGTGGAAGGCAAACTTCTGCTGGAAACCCTAAGGAAGGACAAAGGAAGAGCTCTGAGCAGCTCTTGCAACGAGGTGCCCACTGAAGGGGAACAGAGGCTTGACAGGAAGGGCAAATGCTTGCTGCAAGAGTCAGTCAATGTGCCCAAGGTCTCAACCAGATGGCTTCCCAATGCCAGGGCCATGGACAGGGATGTCCAATGTGCTCCAGCAGTTGTCCTTGGAAGCCAAGGAAGGCCCTAGCCCAGGAGTCTGGGGAGGAGTGGGGAGTCTTCAGAACTGATTGGATTCACTGCGAGTCCAAATCTGTATGGGGATCCCAAGATTGGGTGAACCTGGGGATCATAATCTATTGGGTGTTCACAACTACTCCACTCCCTGCCACTGGCAGGCTCTGCAGGGGAAGAGTTAAGAGTAGTGGCTTTAAGGAAGCTGGAAGCTGTTCCCAGGAGGGACTGTGGGATTCTTTCCTATGGACCCTAGATAAGTCATCTTTCCCAGCATATCTGACTTCAGCTCCTTTTCAGGCTGAGGGAGCAGCAAGAGCCCTTCTCACCTTTCCACACTGCCGGCACTTCCCTTCCTGGCGTCTACGGTGTACCCAGTGATGTCGTACAATTGCAGGCTAAAGGGGAAAAGAAACAGGCCAGGTTCAAAGAAAAGGCAGAGAGATGTACACACAGGACCTAGTCAGTACTCTCTTAGGCCAGCACCCAGACCATTTCTCCCTTGTATTTTCTTTAGCTTTGAGGGGGGAATGCAGGAGTCCCTATGAACTTCCCAAAGCAGCCATGGAGAGGTTCACCTCAATCTGCACTCAGCTCTGGGCCACAGAAGACAAGGGCCCACACAAAGATCTCTGAGAGATGCAAGGGCCCTTGCATTCTACCCTAAATCTTAATAATCCTCAGGAGAAACCCAAGCCTGGAACATTGTTGTACTACATTAGAGCTGATTTTAACCAAATAACCATGGTTCCTTGCAGCATCTCAACTGGTTTTCAGTCTCAAAAGCAAATGGAATGAAGGCAGCAGCCAGTTACTACCTATGGTCAGGTTGGGCTGATACAACTGAATGTGTCCTTTGCCAAAATGTTCTATGCACAACTCAAACTTTTTTTATAGCTCAAAAAGAACCGTAATAACCACGCTCAGCTTCTATGTAGCATTGGCCTACAACCAGGCCTCCACAATCAGGCAATCATCCTGCTATTTTTCAGTCGACACTTGCAGAAACATGTAACATGTTTACATAGAATATTGTCATAGTCAGGGAAAAAGCTATTTTTCTTAAAACAGAACCTGAAAACGTGAGGTTGACTTACACACAAGGCTGACTTAAAGCCAGAACAATACAGAGTGCTGATTTAGTTAAACCAGCCCACACTTCTTTTTCATCCCATCTCTACCAGCTAAACCCAGCTTATACTGCTTTAGCTGGCTATCATGCGATTCTAAACAGATATACTTAATCAGCATACACAAGTTACACTGAAATAACTAAAGCAATGCAATGTAAACTGAGGCAGCTTGTGTGTGCCGACTAGTCCTCACTCAGGACAGCACCAGACAACTATGTCCTTAAGGAACTTGTCTGCAGCCAGGTTAACCCAAGCACTCCTAGGATAGAGTCTATTCCCCAGAAGGGGGATTCTGGCCCATAAAGTTCCCCTTCAATCCTGCAGCAAGAGTACCATTCACATGTGCGGACCACCAAAGCTGCTCTCCCAGAAAAGGAAATGGGAGCCAGTGTGCAAAACAGGGAAATCCAGAGGGTGGGCAGTAGACAAACTAGAGAGGCTGAACTTTCTGCACAGGCCAGCGCTGATGCGCACACAATTAAAATGAATAAACGGAAGAGGAGTGCAGCAAGTCTGAACTGTTCCTCTTACCACAAACTGCATCTTTGCCAAAAGTCTGTTAGTGCCTCTGAACAGGCACATAACCGCAACAAGAAAACTGAATAAAGATATCAAAGGAAGTAAGAAAATCCCCATTGGGAAAAAACAGATGCCCAGCTCAGTTCACGGTGAGCGGAGAAGCACTGGAGGGGTTTGCAATCTTGAGCACAGATGAAGAAGGCAAAAACGCAACACTGCCAAGCTTGTGGTGTTTGCTGGGAAGACACACACAGCTCCACATAACTCATCATGCTCACCCCACCCCACCCCACTCCCAATCACGGGTAGTGCCACATCCACACAAGCCGACAGTTCGCCAACGAGCACTGCTATAGCTGGCGCCTCCTCGCGCTGGCAATGCTAGGAGCCAGGTCACTTGCACACATCCATCATCTCTGTGTCAGCGCCTGAGCCAAGAGCCCTGTGGGGCAGGGATGACTCATTCCACGGTCTGAGTGCAGCCAGGCACAATGCTAGTGCTTAATGACTGCTGAGGGACTTCCATCATCCCAGCCAGGGGGCAGATTTGGATAGGGGCAATATGTTCCTTCAAACTTCTGAGAGAAAGAGAGAGAGAGAGAGAGAGACACACACAGAGACAGTGTGTGTGCGCGCACACACACACGCACCATATTCTCCTCTCCTTTGTCCTCCTCAGAGGAGAGGGGATATCACTGCTGGGGAAGCCTGAGGTCACTGCACAGTACAGCAGCACTATTTCCCTGCTCCCCACTCAGCAGCTATTGAGGTACAATGGGAAGGGGAAAATAGGCCTGTATGGCCCTATGTTTGCTTATTATTCCTCAGTGTGCTTTGTGCCCTGTCACAGTTGCGGTGAGGATGCAGTTCATGTGACACCAAACAGCTGGTTAAGTGGTCCACTAACACAGGGGTCCTCAACCCCTGACTCGCAGGGCAGATCCGTTCCCTGATGCCATGTTGTTCAACCAGCAGGGCTCCATGCAGATCCAGGGGGAGTCTTGTGGGTTGTGCCCCTGCATGCTAGATTGGGAACACAGGACAGAGCAGGCCCAATCCTGGTGTGTGGGGGCCAGATGGGGGTGCCATCTCTGTCCAGGCAGAATCAGGCCCCAGGACCTCGCACTGCCTCTGGCTGGCCCCCACCCAGCCAGGATTGGGCTCCAGGTGGCGGTGATGCAGGGCACTGGAGCCCAATCCCAGCGCACAGGGGTGGCTGGGGCCCAGTCTGCACTGTGGACCACCCCATCCCATTCATGTGGCTTGAGGGGCCAAAAATATGAGCATCACTAACAAGCACTCCTGGGTACTTTATGTGCTACTCCTAGTTCTATATTCTATTGCAAAGTGGTTCAATGGTTGGAAGGTACTTTCTTTACAGCACCTTCAGGGGTCTAGCCTTAGGTCTTATTTCCTGCTTACAACTGACAAGGTAGTCCCTGGTGGTAAGGGTCCCAGGTACTGTAACAATGGGCATCTTCCAAGTTGGTTGGGCTATGCTCTCTTTAGAGTCTTCAGAGAACAGATTCCAAGCTTTGGTTCTATCTTAAGAGCTAGCACAGTGCTGCTCAGGTGAACCCTCATTGTGTAGCTCCCCCAGGGAGATCCTAGGTCCACATCTTATCAAAATCTCCCCTGGAGATGCCAGCTATTTTGGTTTGCCCCATGCCCAGCTGGTGTGGACCCTATCCAGTCCCCTAAGCACCCCAGAAAGCTTCTTCTGTCTAGGAAAGGCACGGGGTGCTCTCGCTAGCCTTACTCCAGTGGTGCTGAGGATGGCAGGAGAGCTCTCCAGAGGGTGCATTTGTTTTTCCTCTGTAAGTGGCACTAAGCAGGAGCTTCTCTGGCACCAGTGTGAATTACTACTGGACACAGCCCGGGGAGCAATAAAGCAAAACTGGACACAACACTTCCCCCTAAACACCACAGGACTCCCTTAGAGGCTTGAAAGAGTTCAACCATCAGTCATGCTCTTTTTCATTCACTCAAAGACAACACTGGGCAGGCTGACATTCCTCCCAGGAAACAGATGTCTCTGGCCCAGGAAGTTCAGAGTGCTGGTCAGCAGCTGCCTGGGCAGTGGCAGGTCCCACTGTAAGGAGCCGGCGTTTGTCTCATCACTTACAACAACTCTTTCTGGCTTTATTTCACAGAAGCAGCCCACATAATGCCCCTCCAGTTCCAGAGCTCTTGGAGTTTCAAGGGGAACACAAAGACTGAGCCCCTGCCCACAGCAGACAGAAGCCAGTCTTTTTGAGATCTCCACAACAAACCAAGCCAAGTCTTGCCCTGCCCATTCCCTCCCTCATTCCTCAAGCCCTTTGCCACTAAATGGGAAAGGGGTGGGGGATCTTCCCCTGGCAAACACTAGTAGTAGCTCCACAGAGCCTCTCACCTCCCGAATGTTCCTCGATCCTGACTCCCTGAAGGAGGGTTTGCAGCGGAAATTTATCTGCAGATTTAATGCACACAAGCAAGGCATCAGTGAAAGCATCATCTGAAAGGAACCTACTAAGATCTAGTTTGATGTGGCAGGTCCTGGGGCTTCCTAGGACAGGTGCTGCTTATTGGAGATGCCCCAACTCACTCCCCAGTAAAAGAACCATTCACCTGCACTAGGGGACTAAAGTACACAGAGACCTGCAGGCAGTCTGCTGCCTTCTGAAGGGGCAGGGGAGTGGGGTATCTCCCTCATAGGACAGTACACAGCTCCCAGTAACTGCAGCATTCAGAGCTCATGCCAGAGAGCGGGCTGACCACAGAGGGGCTGCCCCAGCTTTTCAGACCCAAAAACAGGCTGTAGTGTGCTTTACTCACTTTTTCCAGCTGCTCTATGCAGGGCGTGTGCACCACAATCTTGCAGGCTGCGCATTTGCGCCTGGACAGAGGCTTTTGCTAGGAAAGAGAGAAAAAAAAAGAGACAGGCATTCATATTGCTACTGATTTACCAGTCAGGAAGCCTGAGATCTCCAGCCCATGCCCTGGGGGAGCTCCCAAGCATGAACAACTCCATGTTCTGCAGGAGGAGAATCCAGATGGAGGAATAAGCATGGACCTGAACTCACAGTAGGCAAGAGCCTCCCCTGGTCTAAATGGCCTTCCTCCACCAACCTGCCTCAGCCTTGCCCTGAAGCAGCCGCCTCTGTGGCAAAAGGGGAGGAGACTTCCCACTGGCCAGCCAATCCTAGGCATCTCCCAATACTGCCACAAGGGACCAATTAGCACCACCTGGCAATGCCCACTGGGAACAGGTCGAGGCCTCAGGTTCATGGTACATGAGCCAATGATCATGTACCATCTCACTGGGGAGATAAGATCTCTACCCTCAGCACCCTGGGCTAAATCCGACCTGCACGCAGAGTGAAGCAACATGTTACACTTAGCCCATGCCAAATCTCTGGAATGATAAACAGTGTTAAAGCTAGAATATGCTGTGAGCCTTTGCACATTAAGGATTAATATCACTATTTGCCTGCACAGTTCTGATTCACCCCTGGAGGGCTGGCAAGAGCCAGAACATCTAAGCTCTATCCTTGCTGCTGGGGGAGGATGTGCGAGGGAGACTTGGAGCAGTGCATCCTGGGATGCTGGAAGACTGTAAAACTTGCTCATTTTACTGCTGTGAAGCTACCCTAATCTTAGCAACCCAGAGTTAACCCTCACCTGACATGGCGTAACTTTGAGATACTTAGGGGCACTTAGCACAAGTTCATGAGCTTTAACATGCAAATGCTCATGTTTTAAGTGCTCTTAGTATGGTACAAATGGAATGTGTAACTTCACCCTTGGAGAGGTGCGCCCCCGTGGGCAGTCCAGCTTCTGAGGTCACAGAAGTGGATGCCTAGAGTTCCATTTCCTGGCTTGCTCTTTTGTTGTGAGGTCCTTCAGGAGAAACTGTGGAACCAAGTTCCCTCTTTGGGGTGTCTGAGATCACAGGAGCCCCTCCCAGTAAACACTTCTGCCTGATAAAGCCACCCCCAACAAATTGCAGATTGCCACACACCTGCTATGAAGCTCCAGCCCTGATATAGCCTCAGCATCAGGCAAAGTCAGGAGGGGACCACACTGCCTCTCCCACAAGCATTAGGCTTTTCTTTGCTCAACCCTCAATTGCCTCTAGGCCTAAACTGCTGTGCAGAGAGGGATTCCAGGAGTCTCCACTAGGTGGCACTACGTCTCCTCCCCAAAGGAAACAGGGCTGACCACTGGTTGCCTGGGGCTAACTTACCAGCATCTTGGCCACACAGTTCTGTTCCCCCACGTAGCAGAAATCCCCAGACACGTTAGTCTCGAACCAGATGTGCTCCCCATAGACTGCAGTCTCCTGAAAGGCATAAGACAATACTATCCTGAGGGAGGAGCACTGAGCTGCTCTCAGGGACTGAAAGGGTCCCAACGCTGCTCAGGACCCGTTGTTTCCAAGGCGTCCTGCTTGTGACAGTCAGATGCAAGGGCCTAAGGATCAGGCACTGTCATCACAGGGTGCATGGAGACCCCAACTTTCAGAAAGAAATAAAAACCCTCCCAGAGCTCACACCTGGCCCAGATATAGCAAAGCCCCAGAAGAGCATGTACTCTCTTTTTGAAGACTGAGGGTAGGACCGCTCCATACAGCAGTTTGCATGATTTAATGCAGCCTGTCTGCAAAGTGTCCCAAACAATGTGGCTCCCTGTGTGCGCCCTGGAAGAGGGCACAGCTGGGCAAACACACCTCACTGCCAGGGACTGCCCTGTTCTCCCTTCAGGGGTTGGTACACTGCTGTATCCCACTTAGGGTGCTTGTACACTGGCTGTTTTTGTGCTTTAATTGCGTCACACTGTACATGTGCAGGGTTTTTTTTAATGATTTAAATGAGTTTGCTGTGTTGCATGCAGTTTAGTTTGCAATGTAGCTATTTGTAATGTTGCAGCCTCAGGTTGCTAGCTGGTGGATGCTGCCTGAGCTTGGGCTCATGGAAGTAGGGAACAGTTGAATTGTGCAGGGTGCTGCCTGTGAGCTGGGGCAGCACCCACCCACTAGCCACCCACCCAAATGGCCCCAGGGGGAAGGCCCGGGGCTCCCCACAGCTCAGGGCCCACCAGCAGCTCGCCCCCTGGATGCAAGAGAAGCAGGCAGGCTCCGCGCTGCAGGGGAGCCTGGTCTTTCCCTCCACAGCAGTGATGCCCCCCAGGGCCACTCAGGCAGGGTGCTAATTGTGTGGGTGCTGCCCCAGCTTGTAGGCAGCACCCACTGGGTCCAACTCTTCCCCAAGCCCATGCGCTGGAATCCTGCTGGGCGCTGCTCCCCATGTGGGCTCGGGGAAGAGCTGGATCTGGCGGGTGCTGCCTGCAAACTGGAGCAGCATCCATGCATCTAGCACCCCCAGAGAGTGCCGCCACCGCAGAGGGAAGGCCCAGCCCACCCACAGCTCAAGGGCTGCGTGTTCCAGTGGTAGCTCGCATGGGCAAGCTCCGCTGAGGAAAAAAACAAAAGTGGCAAGGGGTCTGATCCTTTTTCCCTGTGGAGCCTGCCTGCCTCTCCTGTGGCTGTGGGGTAAGCGAGCTGCTGGTGGGTCCTGAACTTCCCTCCATAGTGGTAGCACCTTCCGGGCAGCACCCACCCACTAGCAGCCCACTCAGGCTGCTCGGCCCGCTGGCAGCTTGCCCCCTGGCTGTGGGAGAGGTGGGCAGGCTCCACAGGAAGGGGGAAAAAAAAGGATTGGGCCCCTCACCGTAATAGTGATGGAAACCCCTAAATTGAAATGGTATACAAGTGGCCTTAGTGCCAAGTCAAAATGGACAGCTCTCTCTTCACAGAGCAATCCTTCACCCTCTGACTGCTTCTCCTCCTTTTGGAACCAGCTCTACAGCACCCAGGTGAGCTCACTGCTTCTGAACACAATTCCAATAGGACTGAGTACCCCAGAGGAGAACACATGTAGAAGCTGTCCCCTCTTTTCTCCAGGATAGGAGAACTCAGAGGACAAGGCCTGAAACCAGCTTGAAGCTGCCTGTGCAAAGGGGCGTGTATATCTCAGGTGAGGAGAAAGTGGTGATTTCCATTCCCTGCTCTAGAAGCCAATTTCCACTCTCCAAGTAGTCACACCTGCCTTCTGGGGAAATGACCATGTTGCCCCGTTTTCCCTGGCACCCAAGGGCTGGTAGCTAGTGAGGCTACGAATGTGCCAAAACAGGAGCCACCAACACTGACTCATGTCCCTCCTGCTCTCCACTGGCAAGGCCATAAACCTACTGCAGGAACACAGAACCTCAATCAACTGCAAGCAACATGAAACGCAACTTACGCTCCAGTCCACAGTGCTGCGGATCTGCCTCTCTGGGTCACTCCTCAAGGCAAGTGCAGGGCTTGGCTGTGCGACCATGTGCTGGAGGCCAGACTTGGCTATAGCTTTCCTGGAAGACAAGGGAAGGTGACTGTAACAGTGCATCGGAAGGTGAACTTGTGTAAGGTACTGCATGGATCCTCAGTTGGGCAAGCAACGCTGGAGGTGGAGGGGGCAGAGCATTAGCCCTTAGCACTACTCCCAGCAGAGGGCCCAGAAATGATGCTGAGTACCCTGGAATTAGAGGCAGGACAATACCACCCTCCCCAGCCACCCATCAGCACAGGGCTTGCTGAAGGTGCTGGGATCTGGAAACCCATGTGGAACCTTTTCCCAACCATACACATGTGGCTTCCTCCTTCCCTCTAGTGCTGGCTGCCACAATAGGCAGCTTATGGGTCTGCTGGAGGCTTTAAGCCAGGTGTGTCAAAGTCACCTGGCCCCTCAGGCTGGATGAGTGGTGCAAGGCTGGTCCATGGGCTAGCCCATGGGTTGGATTTGGCCCACAGAACCCTCACCACATGCTGGACCCAGTGCATACGGTGCTGCTCTGGCTGGTCTGGGACCTGCGCCACACTCAGCACCCACTCCAGCCAGTTTGGGGCAGGCACCTCATGCAGCGCAGTCCTGGACTGGCTGGGCAGGCACCATGTGCAGCGTGTCCTGGGCTGGCTGGTACACGTGAGACCAGCCCAGGTCCTGCATGCAAGACCCAGGGTCAGCACCAGGGGCTGGATGATGGGGCTCTGCAGGCCAGATCCAACCCATGGGCCATATCTTTGGCACCCCTGCTTTAAGTTAACAAAGCTGGCATTAGCACAGACTACAGAGAACTCAGCCTCTAGATCCAGAAGTGTTGGATTAGTCCCAAAGCTGACTATCCACCACCTATGACTCCTTCCGCTATAAAGCTAGGAATCTTAGACTTGCCCCAGCAGGAGAAGCCAGGAAGCTCCCAGGAGTGAAGACTTGTCAGACACCCTGGGTCATCACCTCACTTGAGTGTCACGTTGGTGGAGAATCAAGAGCCAGAAGAAGTTGGGTGGCTGCCTGCAGGCCCTGGCTCATAAGGGGTTTTCTGCCTGCAGGTCAGGTGCTTGAGGGCAGTTACCTTCCTGAGGCTGAGGCAGCACGTGGGTAGAGCAGGGCAGCTGCTCGGTTGAGGCCAAGAACATGACACAGGGTTGGAGTTATTCAGCCATGGGAGCGCCATTCTAATCAGCTGTGGGGAGAGGCACTGTGCAGCCACACGGACCCTGCAGAGCAAGTCAGCTCCCGACTCCTGCCATATCCATATCCCTCTCCCAGCTCAGAAGCATTTTCCTCTCTCCATCAAATGCCCTTCTCTAATCACCAGTTCACACCCCTCAGTCTCTGGCTTTGGTGCAAGGGGTGGACAAAAACTTGTCTCCTCTGACCCTCAGTTCAGAAAGAGGGAAAAGGAGATGTCAGCTCCTTGGCCTCTGCTTGGTCATAGCCAGCCTCCAAAATGTTGCATCCACAAATGCACTGACAGCTGAAAGGACTGAGCACAGGGTCTGTTAGGTGAGACCCATGGGAGCTTGAAACCCCAGCCCTCTCCCTCCACTTAATATATGGTACATCATGCCACTATCAGCCTCACTCCCACCTTCCCTACTCCAATCCTGCTGTGCTGTGTATCGCTCACCCTGCCGCCCCCGCAAAAGCTTGGACAGCCCCCTCAAATGCTGCTCCTCTGGGAACACCATACATACAGCAGCAAAGGGCTCCAGCTTTCACGGGAGGCACCAGTACAGGGACCATAGGCGGGCTCTGCTCCCAAACATTCGTGTGGGGCTGCCAATGCTGGCGGCATGCCTTTGGAGAGAGCCCTCTGTCTCTTGGTGGCCAGCTGGGCTCTGTCTGGAGGAAGCAACATGCCCACCGTGAGGACCTCACTAGCACGCCGTGGCTGGCTGAGGCGCCGGTAGCTCCCATACAGCCCATAGGCTGCCTTGCTGTACACCACGTCAGCAGGCAGGAGGCGAGATGAATTGCGACGCAGGTAGCGCGGAGCACGCAGGAGGTGCCCCACGCTAAGAGGGCGTAGCACAGGGGGCCAGGTCTGCCAGGGAAGCAAAGCCTGCTGCTCATGCCTGTCCTGCTCTGCTTCCTCAGATCCGGAGGTGACAGTCTCTTCCCAGTAGGCCTCCTCCTCTGGCCCCTCCTGGGGTGACTCGGATCCAGAGCCTTCCTCATAAGGCGACCGTCTCCCTTCTTCTTCCTCCCTCGTTTGGATGAGGTTGGCCAGCAGCATGGAGGGGCCCATGAGGTGGGTGTCGATGGTGCGCATCTGGGCCCCACGCTTCTTCTGGACTGAGAATCTGGGGCTGACACATGGGGGGGTGGTGCTAGAGCGGCGCCGGGTGCTCGACCTGCCCTTCCTGGGGGAGCCCAGGCACAGTGAGAGGCCCTGGAGCGGGGTGCTGGACCGGCGGCGGTGCTGGGCCAATGAGGCAGAGGGCTGGCCCACCAACGAGCGCCGCCGGACCTTACCAGTGGGCACTGCCATGCTGGCACGCCGGGACCTCGAACACCCCTTCTTCCTGAAGTGCCTTTTAAAAAAGGTTTCCATAGTGACTGGGGGCACCCCAAACAGTGGCTGTTAATACAGAAACCAGCAATTAGATGGGTAGGGCCTCCTGCCATGCCTACATATCCCCACGTGCCAGAGGAGGTGTCCACAAAGCTCTGGAAGGGGAGGGCTCAAGATAGAGCAAGGGCTGGACAACAATCCCAAGCCACAAACAAAGGAGTTCCCTTAAGGATGCTCCCGTCTCGTATCCTCTCCTGGGAGGCTCCTGGTTCTGGGTAGGACAGGAGGGAAGGTTGGGGGGAGTGACAGCTATGGCCAGGCCTCCATCTAGGGAACAGGACAGCAGATATGAGGAGCTGGTCAACAAACCACTCACTCTCCTGGTGGAAGACAGCAGGGCTCAGATTTAAACAGAGACATGGTTCTGCCCCTCAACCCAGTTTGGCACTGGGAAGGAGTCAGGCTGTAGGTCCCAGTCATGCCCCAGAGCAACAAATGGGTTACAGGCTGCTAAGCTGTTGCTCATCTGGGATGTCTAAGACAGCATGTGCCACCCCTCATTGGAAGAGAGGAGCCTGTACAGGGGATCCCACTCAAGTCCGGCCTGCTGGTCAAAAGGGCAGCAGAGAACACTCCCAGGGCAGCTTTCCACAGTGAAATGCAGAGCTCCTCTAGTCAAGCAGAGCAAACTGGCACCCATAGGCAGTCTGGGCCTGGGCACATATTCAATCTACCACCTGCTGGTTAAAAGGACACATGGGACAGCTGGACAACAAGGACACAAATAGCTGCAGAGAGACTCTGCAGGCCAAGGGCTCTGCTCAAAGGGATACAGTCACCAACCCTTACACAAAGCTCAGGTTAGGAGCCAAATATTGAGCCCATGCACTCATCCCCTTTATGGTGGTGCCTGTGCTTCCCTCAGCTCAGTTCAGGGTGCTACATTGGGTGGCATCACTCAGTTCCTAGTTCCATCTGTGTCCCATGCTTGTCCTCACAGGATCAGAGTGCTTCTAGCTCTTCTTCTGAACTAAACTTTCACTTCCTGCTTCTCAGAAATTGACCCAAGCTGTTACTGACCTCCTGGCTCCCAGCACTGGAGGGAACTGAAGTGTTTGAATGGTTAACAAAGTTCTTTGGGTAAATGTGATATCTTTTATTAGGCCAACTAAATAGTTGTTCAATTGTTCTTTGCAAGCTTTCAGGTACAAACACCCTTCTTCAGGCAGAAGGAGTGTTTCAATGGCTAACTGCAGGCCACACTCACCCCCTTGTGGTCATCAATGGGATTGCAGCTACTTCCTCTTAGCCTCTCTCTGCATAGAGCTTTGCAGGAAGAATTGTTTTGGTCTGTTTGTCTTTTGTAATTAAGGTGTAAATGCTGGACCAGATGCAGGTTCCCTTTAAATTAGAGAGATGCTCACCAACAACTTCCCTTGAGCAAGATGGGACAGAGACATGGCGCTGAGTGCCTTTAGTACAGACAGCTGGAAACTTCATGCTCCACTTGCATAGAGAAGACCACGGTATGTTTATCAAGGTCAGGGATGATCTAGGTGTAACTACACCCATGTTCTACTTTCAGTATTTCCCATGCTCCTGGGCTTTTTTGGTTGCCACATGAGGCAGGAAATGAATGTTTTCCCCTTCCTGCTACTACATGTGTGTTGGGGGTAAGGGGAGGGAGGAGTTAGCCTTTCTCCGAAGCATTGGATGTTGGCTGCAGCGAGGATCAGGGATTTTGACTGGGGTGTACCAATGTTCCTGCTAGGACTTAAATCCAGAGGTTCCTGGCTAGAGGGTCTTGCCCCTCTGCTCAGGGTCAGACCTGGCTTACCCCATTGCCAGACTGGCACAGACTGTGGGGGTTTTTACTTTCCTCTGTAGCAGGGGGATGGCCCTCTTCTTGGGATCTCTCAAGTGCATTTCAACACCCTTGCCACAGCAGAAATTTGGCTGCCACAGTGACCCTGCTTTTACCCGTGGCAGATTAAGGTGCTACCTCTTGTGGTTGTGTCAGGGTTGGCCATGTAGTTCTGCTAATATGTTAGACATTTGATTTGTATAGGATGGTCTGGATAGGGATGATCCTGCATCATGCAGGGGGCTGGAATAGATGCCCTCTGGAGGTCCCTTCCAGTCCTACTTTCCTATGATGCCTAGTGGCAAGTATGGTAACAACTTCCTTCCTGTTGTTCTTGGGAAGATCCCTTGTCCACAATTACTTCCCCCTCTTGCTACCTTATCCCAGTTGCCTACTTGTAAACTCAAGCACTTAAGATGCACTTAAATCTAGATATATCACAAGCTAAGCACTCAAAAGTTTACAAGGAAAACACTGAGAGGGCAGAGAAGGTGGGGAAGAAGGTTCTTGCCAGGACCTGAGGAGCATGGAGCCTAGCTGGGAGATCTGGAGCAGAGCTGAGCAGGAAGAGGAAAATAATCCCATCTGTTCTGCTCCTGGTGGAAAGAGCTTTAAATGACTCTTAAGCTTTCTCTGCCTAACACTCAAAGCTTGTCACGTTGCCAGGATACCGCAGCTGCATGTGAACAGCTTAAAGCTGCTGGCAAAGAAGTTTCAGGCACTGGCTGAAGCACTCTGACTAACATGCAAAGGTTTAATTGGGAGGGAGATAGATTGAACAGCTCCACAGGCCTATTCTCCAGATGGATCTTCTGTCCTACTGCTCAACCTGCCTTCAGCCATTTTTACAAATAAATAATCCAGGAAATCTTCAAGAAAAACCGCATTATATCAGAATTAAGGTTCCTCAACAAAAACAAGTCCTAACAAAGCAAGGAAATCACAGTCTATGCCAGCTTTCATACCCAACACCCTAGCAGTCTTCAGTCACTAGCCCACTATCATCACTGTCCTCAAATACCTAGTATGGCCTGACAGGGTGAAATACAATTTGGTATGGGTGGATGGCCATCCACCACAGCAGTTAGGCAACCTGACAAACATCTGCCATGCATTGCTGTCTTGCTGCCTCCTCTTTATGTATTTACCTGCAGTTCAGTATGTTCCTAGGAACTGAAAACAGTGTGGTATTACACAGCCTTAGATCCTGCAGCAATAGGGTCCATATAAGAAGGCAGACTTGTTAAGACAGTACCTTTGCTGCCCTGTTCATTTTGAATACAGACCCAAGACGTCAGAGTGTGGCTCTGTTTAGTGCTACGTAAGTTAGTCAACTGTGTTTTGTTTTGTTTTTAGTTTTAAAGTCAACACAGAGCTTGTATTGTTGAGAAGTAAAAGATCTTGAGTGTGTGCTTAGCTCTCTTGCCCCCCTCTGCCACCAGTAGGTGAGGATGCTAAGAACTGTAATGACAGGATTAGGTTGGTCATTGCATTAGCAAGTAGCACAGAGCTACAGGATGGAAGTCAGAGTTATGCGACACAGAGGGCTTTTCACTTCTATGGGGTGTCTTGGGGGTTCAGAGTACTGCTAACCTGAAAGCAAACCTAAGGGCCTTGCCTTCACTGAGGGTCTTCTGATAGGGCAATATTGGTTAATCTTTTTGGCAGGCATGCTACAAGTTAGCTCTGCACCATCCCCAAGTGCCACGCCGATTCCCTTCTTCTGCCTGATCTGCTGCTCTTTTTGCTCCCTTTCCAACCAGCTGCTCTGCTCCCTGTCCCCTCCTTGATCTGTCGTGTGCCCCACACACAGACTTCCCATGACACTTTGGGGCATGCATACTGCAGGTTGGTCACCTGTGTGACAGGGCATGGACACACATATTTGGAGCCATTTAAAAAAGCAGCAGCTACATTCTATTTGCTTTGTGTGGGCACACTGAGAAGGATGAAAATGTAGCAAAACTGCTCCAACTTTATCTCTGGCTAAAGCAGGGTTAGAGTTGGGGCACTTTTGCTGCATTTGATATTTCCCAGTTTGTTCATGCATAACAATTAGAACATACCAACTGCTTGGAAATGGCTCCAAATATGCATGTGTCCATACCAAAGTCTTCTACGACGGTTCACTGCAGCTCCCAGTTTTGGGTCCCACACTATAGATGGATGTGAATAAGTTGGAAAGAGTCCAGTGGAAAGCAATGATAATGGTGAGGGGGCTGGGACACATGACTTATGAAGAGTGGGTGAGGAAACTGTTCTTGTAAATAAACTGACAGGCTGTAAGGTAGATGATTACATGGTCAGGTGAGTGGCAAATTGGCTTAGGGATCGCACCCAGAGAGTGGTGGTGGACGGGTCGATATCGACCTGGAAAGATGTGGGCAGCGGAGTCCCACAAGGCTTGGTCCTCGGACCGGTGCTATTCAACATCTTCATCAGTGACTTGGATGAGGGCATGAAGAGCACCCTATCCAAGTTCGCAGGCGATACCAAATTGTGGCAAAGTTAACACACACCAGAGGGTAGAGAACGGATCCAGGTAGACCTGGACAGGTTGGAAAAGTGGGCAGAACGAAACAGGATGCAGTCCAGCAAAGACGAGTGCAAAGTGCTGCACCTAGGCAAAAAGAACCACCAACACACTTACAGGCTGGGGAATGACCTTCTCAGCAGCGGAAAGGGATTTTGGAGTCATTGTCTACTCCAAGATGAACGTGAGTCATCAATGTGATGAAGTGATCAACAAAGCTAACCACACTTTATCATGCATTAGCAGATGCGTGATGAATAGGTCCAGGGAGGTGATGCTTCCTATCTATGCAGCACTGGTCAGGCTGCAGTTGGCGTACTGCATCCAGTTTTGGGTGCCGCACTTCAAGAGGGAGGCGGAGAATCTTGAGAGGGTTCAGAGGATGGCCGCTCATATGGTCAGAGGCCTGCAGGCAAGGCCCTATGAGGAGAGACCGAGGAACCTAGATCTCTTCAGCTTTTGCAAGAGAAGGCCAAGAGGTGATCTTGTGGCTGCCTATAAATTCATCAGGGGAGGGCAGCAGGGAATAGGAGATGCTCTATTTACTAAGACACCCCCTGGAGTAACTAGGAACAATGGCCACAAATTGACAGAGAGCAGATTTAGGCTGGACATTAGAAAGAACTTCTTTACGGTAAGGGTTGCCAGAATCTGGAATGGGCTTTCAAGAGAGGTGTGCTCTCTCCTGCCTTGGGGGTCTTCAAGAGGAGACTGGACAAGCACCAGTCATCTGACCCCAGCCCTCTTTCCTTCCCAGGGCAGGGGATCGGACTTGATGACCTACTGAGGTCCCTTCCGACTTTAACATCTATGAACTGGTCTTATTTAGTCTGCAGAAAAGAAGACCGAGAGGGGATTTAATAGCACCCTTTAACTATCTGAAGGGTGGCTCCAAAGACGATGGAGCTAGACTGTTTTCAGCTGTGACAGATGACAGAACAAGAAGCAATGGTCTCATGTTGCAGCAAGGGAGGTTTAAAGTTAGATATTAGGAAAAACTCTCTCACTAGGAGGGTGGTGAAGCACTGCAACAGGTTACCTAGAGAAGTGGTGGAATCTCCAACCTTGGAGGTTTTTAAAGCCCGGCTGGACAAAGCTTTGGCTGGAATGATCTAGTTGAGGATGGTCCTACTTTTAGCAGGGGGTGGACTAGATGATCTCCTGAGGTCCCTTCAACCTTAATTTTCTATTGGCATTTATACACATACATTTTCATGCCCGGACGCACTGGAGATCTGGTGCACACAAGCTGATGCACATGGCGCTGCAGTGCTTCCAGTTGCATAAGTGGCAAAATGCATATCAGCACAGAGAAAATGGCAGCAGTGCACTTTTGAACTAAAACACCTTCTCTGTGTTTTATTTCAAAAGCAGACCACCACCATTTTCTATGTGCTGACACGCATTTTGCTGCTTATACAACTGAAAGCGACACAAAGCTAGGCACTTTTCAAAGTGTCCAGTGCTGTGGTGCTTGCATGTGTAAAAATGCCCTATGATTCTCTGACTGGCCTGCTGAAGCTGCACATCTGCATACTGATGTGGTCACTTGGGGTGGTGGTGGCAGGTGAATGCTTGGGTGCCCCCAGTGAGGTGGGTGGGAATGGTTTTTCTTTTGCACAATTTTGCCTTTATTCAGGTTTACATTCTTACAAGAAAACACACCTGAGGCCCCTTAGCTTTGAGTGAGTGGGTCTATAAAGCAGCGTACTATGGCTCCTTTTAATCTGAGGGATCTCACAGTCACTGGCAGCACCCGCAAGGGGACTTTCAGGAAGGGATGTGTGGTAGAGACATAGTAGCAGCCAAGCAACACAGTGGCAGCATAGATCCAAAAGCAAAGAGAAGTCCCACGTGCAACTGGGATCGCAGGGAACTTCAGAAAGAGGCGGGCAGCAGGGAACAATTTATACTGGAATTTCATTCTCCAAACCACCACAGTGGATGTTTCAGAGCCTGCTTGGAAGCAAAACTGAGTTGCCCTGGTAGAGCTCTGTGAGGGGAGGACAAGAAAATGGAGTAGCAGGGGATGTTCGAGTCCTTGTGACTAAGCTGTGCATGGGGAGGCCTGGGACAGGAATAACTAGGAGAACATGGGTTGAGACTGACTGGTCTCGGCAGAGTTTAGAGCCCCAAAAGCCCTTGGCCTCTCGTGGTCAGATTTCTATGCTCTTGCCCTGGTTTGTCACTTTGGACACTTTAGATAAAGAGGGCTCACAGAGATACAGCCTGGCACTGGCAGGGTGGAAGGGAGGGGGAAGAGAAGGGGGCAAGGTGGATACTGCACGCCTGGGCTCTTGCTACAAGCAGCTTTGCATTACCATAATCCCCCTGCAGGAACAATGCGGTGGCTTTGATCTGCTAACAATCTGCAATCAGGGCCCTGATGAGCTTTTCTAACTGGACTATTTCCTGACAAAAGGCAGCTGGGGCCTCCTGCATAATAAACAGGCTGGCAAAGTCAAGATGACAGAGTCCTCTCACTCACCCAGAAGTAAAAAGAGATAAAAGTAAGCTTGCAAAGAGCCTGTTGTTTCCCATCCCAAACCTGTAAGTTTTCTGCACACAAAAAAGAGAGGTGCTGATTGCAGGCTTGGGGTACACTCGGCCTGCAGGGAGTAAGCCTAAAGCGTAGAGGCCCAGGGGGTGGCCTGGAAAACCAGCAGGAATCTAACCCATCAACCTGCATACGGTTAACCTTCCTGCAAGGTTTAGATGCAGCAGAAAAGGCATGAAGATCAACCAGTTCATCTAGGTCCTCCTGCACAATCTGCAGGGCTTTTCCATTGCCTAAATTATTCCCTGTGCTCCCCATCACCTTTAGCTGCACTCCCGTGTATCAGACTGGAAAATTTCTCCCCTGCAACTCCCTCGCTGCTCTGGAGTGAGCTTCTGTCGGGTTGACTTGGAAAGAATCCCTTTCAAAACTGGGCACAGCAGCAGAGAGTTGACAAGAATTACTCCACCTCTGACTGCCCAGAGACAAGAGTCCCACACTGATGCTGCTGCTGCTTTGAGCCCATGGAGCCTTGCTCTCTTGGCAGATGCTGACTGGGTGAGGAAGTGCCAGGGCTGACAGCATATGACATGAACACATTTGAGTTTAGCAGATTGGATTTCTCTTTGGCAAGGACAACCAATTTGTGCAGCTCAGAAACACACAAAAAAGAAAAGCGCTATTAATAAGCCTCCCTGAGTGACAGTGAGACCTCTGGGTTATGCTTGTGGTCTCCTCACCATCAGGACACTGCGGGGACCTCAGGCCAAGGCCTGGGAGCTTGTTCAAGGAGTTCACTCCAACGCCTCTCTCAGTTTGCATTCCACTGCTTCCCCGCAGCTCCTGTTTCCACAGAAATCTCCTATCCCTTCATCCTGAAGTCACTCAGGCTTACTTCCCCCCCCCCCCCCCCCTGTGTACCACCCAGTGCCCCCCTTCCCCATGTGTAGCGCTCAGTTGACCCCTTGTCTGCCAAGAGGCTGGCTGTGCCACCCCACTCCTGCTCACAGGCCCTGGCTGCTAGTTTCCTCCTCTCCAACTTCCCCACCCTTTAGCTGGGCTGGATTCTGCCACTTACTGTTTCACACGTTCAATGAAGAGTGGCCCACCCCCTTCCCGTCAGCCCTACGTTCTGCTCTGCAGTGAGCCAAGTGCATGGAGGAGATTGCACATTCCCATAAAGGATCAGGCAGTGGCTGGTGGCAGGGACCAGATGAGCCGGGCCAAGAACTTGATGTGGTACAGGCAGTCCAATGCACCTGTGAAGGGTGCAGCTGTCTGTGAGCATCTGAGCCCTGTGTGGTTTGCTTCTACCTGAACTTTTCTCCAACTGTAACCTGTCACCCACCATCCAGGTGACAGAGTCAGAAGCTCCCTAATGGGGCTGTTCAGTGAGGACAAGGGCCCCAGGGCAGCAGTCTGAGAATAAGGGGTCAACTGACACACCAAGCCAAGGAACATGAAGAGTGAAATGCACACACCTCTGAGTGTGCAACTGATTAATCCCACAGGGCAGCCCACCCTCAGCAGTCCTAGCAAAGGGGCTGAAGTTCTTTGAGCAAGAGGATTCTACCAGGGTTTTCCAAGTATGGACTAATGTTCAGCAGAGCACTTGCCCCATGCCCACTGACTCTCCCGCTTGTTGTGATGCAGCCTTGCTCTTCCTTACCATTCACCGCTGCAGACAGAGCACAAATAATTTGACAGGCAATGGCCACTGCTCACAAGAGGAAGAAACCAGGCACACTGAGCTCTCAACAGCTCCTAAAAGCTTATCAAGCTTTCAAAAGGTGCTCAGCACTTTTCAGGATGAGGCCCTTAACGAGAAGCAGCTGGTATGCCATTCTGCAAAGGGGAGTGGCTGGTGAGACAGAAGCAGGAGGTCTGTTCGTCCCACCGCTGGTGCTGGCA